GAATACTCTGCAGACGCAACGTTCCAATCGGCCATTTTTTCATCCAGATCCATAGCATCCAACATAATTGCCAGGAGAATGCTATGGCTAAAACACTGGCAAGCTGACACCAAGGCTAAGTGGAGGCTAGCGACCGCCCCTTACTCAAGCAACGGTCTGTTTGGGGAGGCCTTGGACCCCTATCTTGTAGAGAACAAAGACAAGCGGAAGGTCATGGCACACTTGAACAAAAGGTCAGACAAACGTACCACACCTTACTTTCGTAGGCAGTCCTTTCGTCAACCGACAACCACACCTATCAGTCAGGCACCCAAGCCATTCACTCCCAGGCAGAACAAACCGTACGGCCGCCCCTACGACAGACCGGGGTTCCAGCCCAGACAACAAAACCAGTCGAGACGACTCTTTCGTGGAACGGGTCATCTGTACTGGAAGACAAAATGACTCCTACATAGACCTACCCATTGGAGGAAGACTAGCTCACTTCTTCCACCAGTGGGAGCAGACCTCCACGGACAACTGGGTACTACAAACCATCCAGTCCGGGCTGTCCCTGGAGTTCCTGGTCACACACCCAGACCGACTCATCAACTGCTCGGTCTCCAGGAACCCCACCAAACGCAAACTCATGCAGGAGGCCATCCAACACCTGTTGGACATTCAAGCCATAGAACCGGTCCCAGTGGAATACAGAGGCAGAGGATTTTACTCCATCCTCTTCGTGGTTCCAAAGACTTCAGGAGGATGGAGGGCAATCCTGGACCTCAAAAACCTCAACCGCTACATCACATACAAAAAATTCAAGATGCAATCCCTTCAGTCCATCCTGGGAAGCATCAGAGAAGGAGACTTCCTGGCATCGATAGACCTCACGGAAGCCTACATTCACATCCCCATCCACCCAAACCACCGCCGGTTCCTACGTTTCTGTTACGGGGGAAAACACTTCCAATACAGAGCTCTCCCCTTCGGTCTATCTTCGGCACCCAGGGTATTTACCAAGATACTAGCAGCGGTAGCCGCCAAACTGAGAAAAATCCCAATACGCGTCCAATGTTACCTAGACGACATACTAATCCAAGCAACATCCCTACAGACAGCTCAGGCGGACGTAAGGACCGTCATTCGCGTCCTCCAATTACACGGATTCTCAGTAAACTTTCAGAAGAGCCAGACAGTTCCCTCGTCCAGGCTGCTGCATCTGGGGGCCATGATAGACACAACCAACTGTATGGTCTATCTCTCCCAAGACCGGGTGGCCGGCATCAGGGAACTGGCTCGCTGGGTTCACAGGCAACGTTCAGTTCCGATACTCACACTTTCCCAATTATTGGGCAAGATGGTATCGGCCATAGCCATTGTACCCTGGGCCAGGCTCCACCTACGGGAACTACAATGGTTTCTGCTCCCTTACCAATGGCAGAACACCAGCGCATCCAACCACCTAGTCAGGGTCACGGCACAAATCCGCAGGGTGCTACGCTGGTGGTGCTCTCGGGCCGTGACCAAGGGGTCACCCTTCAAGGAACCAGTCAGAGTTACCATCACTACAGACGCCAGTCTGTATGGTTGGGGAGCCCATCTGGACTCCCAGTTTGTACAGGGACATTGGTCCGCCACGGATCTGAGAAACAACATCAACTGGCTAGAACTCAGGGCTATCCACCTAGCCTTGCAACAATTCAAAGACAGAATCAGAGGCCACCATGTTCTAGTCCTAACAGACAACGTAGCAGCCAAGGCGCACATCAATCGGCAGGGGGGGGACCAGATCAAAAACCCTGATGACAGAGTCACGACTCCTATTCAGCTGGGTAGAGCCCAATCTGAAGTCACTAAAAGCGGAACACATATCGGGGGTCAACAACCAGCAAGCGGACTTCCTAAGCCGCACCACAGTGGACCCTTCGGAGTGGGGGCTACACCCGAACTTGTTCCTAGACATCTCCCGCAAGTTCGGGTACCCGATCCTCGATCTGTTCGCATCATCAGACACTGCCCAGCTCCCCAGATTTTACTCTCGTTACTTCAACCCGCGAGCAGAGGGGACGGACGCTCTGAGAACTCAGTGGCCTCAGGGTCTGCTTTATGCCTTTCCCCCACTACCACTCATACCGGCGGTCATCCGAAAGCTGATTCAGGAGCGGGCAGAAGTGATCCTAGTAGCACCATATTGGCCACAGAGACCGTGGTTCGCCGACCTGATGAACCTGTCTCAGTCGCCCCCATGGAACATTCCCCCTCATCAAGTGTCCCTACACCAGGGAACCATCAGTCACCCGGAACCCCAATGGTTACAACTGACCGCCTGGCACTTGAGCGCCAGATAATGGCATAGGAACTATTCTCTCCCGGGGCCATTACCATAATTCAAGCTTCACACCGTCCGGCAACAAACCGCATTTACGACTCCACTTGAAAAAATTTTTGCCTTTGGTGCAGGGAACGGCAGTTTGACTTACACAAACTTTACATCCCTCAGATAGTAGATTACCTCTTGGAGGGACTAGACAGAGGCCTCGCCCCCGCGACCATCCGCAGGCAAGTGGCGGCCTTGTCCACCCTCCTCACCTGCACGGATTCGGTTCCCTTAGCTCACCACCCCAGGATCCGCGCCTTTATCAAGGGCGCCTATAACACCAGACTTCCAGTAGTTCACTGGGAACTACCGCGAGTCCTTCACGTGCTCATTCGGTCCTGGGAACTACCGTGAGTCCTTCTCGCGGCTCATTCGGTCACCATTTGAACCATTGGCGACCGTTTCCTTGTGACACCTGTCGCTAAAGGTGGCGTTCCTGATTGCCATCACATTGGCCAGACGAATTTCAGAACTGGCCGCACTGTCAGTCATAAACGACCTATGCATTTTCCACAAGGACAGGGTGGTCCTTAGGGTAGATCCTTCCTTCATACCGAAGGTGAATTCACTCTTTCACAGGACACAGGAAGTAATTCTCCGAAACTTCTGTCCAAATCCAACACATGATCGGGAGCGGCAGTGGCATACATTGGACGTCTGCAGAGCCTTGCGGCGTTATATAAAGCGTACAGAACCCTTCTGCAAATCGGAGGCCCTATTTGTGTCCTTCCAAGCGGGCACCTTGGGGCGGAAAGTTTCCGCGGGCACCATTGGAAGGTGGATCCGAAGCTGTATCGCAGAAGCTTACAATGTATCATCCCTGCCGCCCCCAAGTCATCTCACAGCCCATTCCACCCGAAGCGCTGCAACTTCGGCGGCATGGGCTACCCAGGCGTCAATCGAGGAAGTTTGCAGGGCCACGACATGGTCCTCGCCTTCCCCGTTTATACGACACTACAAGATAGACTGCTTTGCATCGGCGGACGCCTCCTTTGGTAGGAGGGTCCTCCAGCAAGTTGTCTCAGAGATCAATCTACCGGCCTTATCTGTTTCCCACCCCTTGGGACAGTGAGGCTTTGGTACGTCCCATCCGTGGATTATCCATCTCCTGTACTGGAGAAGGGGCGTTGGTCTTACCTGAACGCCTTTTCTCAGTACGGAGATGGATAATCCACACCCACCCCAAGGCCAGCAGGCCGCTAGTAGGGAGCTGAGAGCCAATACCTCGTCAATCATCAGCCAATTCGCCCTCGTTAAGAATGGACTCCACAGGAAGTGGGGGCGTGTCAAGTTTTGGCTACTTGGTCTCAAGAGCAGGCAGACAGAGAAAACCATCCGTGGATTATCCATCTCCGTACTGAGAAAAGGCGTTCAGGTAAGACCAACGCCCCTTCTCTGAGCATCAGCTGCCAAATCTATCAGTCAACCAACCAACATATTGGCCTTTTGGCATAATACTTGCAGTGCCAGGAGGGAGAATCAAGTAGGTATAATTTCAGTAAACACAGGATAGATCTCACTATGAAAGCTTTGGTTGGATCAATTATGTAGAGGTAATCCTTGACTCTACAACCACAACTGAGGCCAGAATTTCCCTTGCTAAGCAAGATAGTTGTAAAGTGAATTGTGCCCAATGTTATGACCGTCTTTGCCACAGTTGTTAAGCGAATCACTGCAGCTGTTAAGTGAAACATGCAATTGTTAAGTGAATCTGGCTTCGCTATTGATTTTGCTTGTTGGAAACCAGCTGGGAAGGTTATAAATGATGATTACATGACGCTGGAACAGTGCAACTATCATAAATACACACTAATTACCAAGCACCTGAACTTTGATCACACGACCATGGGGATGCTGCAGTGGTCATAAGTGTGAAAACTGGTCAAAGATCACTTTTTCAATGCCATCCTAAGTTCAAATAGTCACTAAATAAATGGTTCTAACTATCTATACTTGCTTGCCCAGATGCTGAGCTGTCAACATTTTTCAGATCACGAATGGAATGGAATGGAATTAGAATAGAACAGAACAGAACAAAACAGAACAGAATAGGAATAGGAATAGGAATAGGAATAGGAATAGGAATAGGAATAGGAATAGGACAGGACAGGACAGGACAGGACAGAGAACAGAGAACAGGAACAGGAACAGGAACAGGAACAGAATAAAATAGAATAGAATAGTTGGAAGGGACTTTGTAAGTCATCTAGTCCAATCCCCCACTCAAGCAGGAGACCCTACACCATTTCTGACAGATGGCAGTCCAGTCTCTTCTTGAAAGCTTCCAGTGTTGAAGCTCCCACAACTTCTGAAGGCAAACTGTTCCAATGGTTGATTGTTCTCACTGTCAGAAAATTTCTCCTTATTTCTAGGTTAAATCTCTCCTTGATCAGTTTCCATCCATCCGTTATTCCTTGCCGGGCCTTCAGATGCTTTGGAAAATAGGTTGACCCCCTCCTCTCTGTGACAGCCCATCAGATAGATTCCAGGGTCTTCATAGCCACTGGTTTTCATATCCACTGATTAGTTTTTTAAATGAAAAATGTAAAACTTTATATCATCTATATTTGGAGTGGTCATTTCAAGCTGATATTCATTTCTTGCATTTTTTTTCTCTCTCTCTCTCCACCCCCCCCCCCAGTCTGCAGAATTCTTTGAAATGCTTGAAAAAATGCAGGTAAGTGAAACAGCGTATGTCTTCTAACTCAGCAGTCCTCAACCTTTTTAGCTTGGGGGGGACGCGTGAGTGGCAGATATGTATGTGCGCAGCTCCATTTGAGGGAGTGGCGGTTGCATGGGTCCTCCACTCGTGCGAATGGAGCTTTGCACATGATTGGAGGGTGCTTGTATTCATGTGTGAGGTTCCATTTCTGTAAGTGGAGGGTGCTTGACTGGAGGGCACTTGTGCATGCATGTGATGTTCCACTGCACGCAAATAGAGCTTTGCGTGCAAGTGCAAGCAACTTCTGCTTGTCCAAGTGGAGGTTCGTGCGAGGGCATGCATGCCTGTCCGCTGTTCACACGAGTGGAGCTTCACGCGCATGCACTTGCCCATCTCTCCTGCAGCCCAGTTTTGAACAGGCTGTGGCCCAGTAGTGGGCTGCCGCCGGGGGTTGAGTACCCCTGTTTTAACTAGATTCTTGCTCTTTCACTGAGAAGGGGAATTAGATATTTTGGAGGGTTGAGGCAATCAACATACGCTATTCTTGATCCCTGCCTCAAAAACAGCATGCCTTAAATATCCACTATTGGTTGGGCAGATGACAGCAGAGGAAAGCAAGCGCTCAGCTTCACTCTATTGCTGGTGTACTGTATTCCTTGCTTCCTCCACCCTCCCATTCCACTGTTCAGTGAAGAGCCCCAGGTGTCTCAGATGTGTTAAGCTTTGTCAGTGGGAGAAAATAGCATATAAATGTTGTTTGGAGTTTTGCTTTAATAATGTCTTGTGCTTCTGCAAGAGTTAAAATGGCTTAAGGTTAGTTTGTTTGAAGGACTGTCTTTTCCCAGTTTCATTTACCTGACCAGGAGCACGGTGGCTTGCATGGTTAGGAATGCTGGGTAGGAAGTTAGCAAGCCTGTGTTCGAGACCCATGTGCTTGTGTGAGTAGGGCTGTGTGCATGTGCAAATGTGTGCATACTAGCCAGCCACTCACACGGCCCAGTTGTGCATAGGCCACAGACTGGTGGTAGGCCGTTGCCCACAGGTTGGGAACCCCTGCCCTAGAAAGAAGGAGAAATAGACTTATATGGTGAGACCAAATCTAAGCAGATGCTTTGTAGGTATTTTGAGTTTTTTTGTCTTTAACTACTTTTTATTCATCCAAACAGGGTCCAAAATCAGAAGAACAGAAGGGGGGAGGCCAGAAAAACAAGGTCAGAGTTATTGCAAAGCTTTTTTAACTACCCCACAATCTTTCTGGAGGAGGAAAGTTGCAGAGCAAAATACAGAATTGCAGTCAGGATCCTAGGATTCCAAATTTTGGATGAGGGATGGGAAACTCAGCAAATTTGCAGATGACACCAAGCTGGCAGGAATAGCCAACATTCCAGAAGACAGGCTTAAGATACAGAAAGATCTTGACAGACTTGAACGTTGGGTGCTAGCTAACAAAATGAAATTCAATGGTGAAAAATGTAAGGTTCTACATTTAGGCAAGAAAAACCAAACGTACAGGTATATATAGGTGTTACCTGGCTCAATAGTAATAACTGTGAGAGGGATCTCGGAGTCCTAGTGGACAATCACTTAAATAGGAGCCAGCTGTGTGCTGCAGCTGCCAAAAAAGCCAACACAGTGCTAGGCTGCATTAACAGAGGGATAGAATCAATATCATGTGAAGTATTAATACCACCTTATAATGCCTTGGTAAGGCTACACTTGGAATACTGCATCCAGTTTTGGTCACCACGATGTAAAAAAGATGTTGAGACTCTAGAAAGTACAGAGAAGAGCAACAAAGATGATCGGGGGACTGGAAGCTAAAACATATAAGGAACGGTTGCTGGAATTGGGTATGTCTAATCTAATGAAGAGAAGGAGGAGGGGAGACATGATAGCAGTGTTCCAGTATCTCAGGGGCAGCCACAAAGAAGAGGGAGTCAAGCTATTCTCCAAAGCGCCTGAAGGCAGGACAAGAAACAACGGAAACTGATCAAAGAGAGAAGCAACCTAAAACTAAGGAGAAATTTCCTGACAGTTAGAACAATTAATCAGTGGAACAACCTGTCTCCAGAAGCTGTGAGTGCTCCAACCCCCTGCTCAGGCAGGAAACCCTATACCATTTTGGACAAATGGCCATCCAGTTTCTTCTTAAAAACTTCCAGTGTTGGAGCATTCACCGCTTCTGGAGGCAGGTTGTTCCACTGGCTAATTGTTCTAACTGTCAGGAAGTTTCTCTTTAGTTGTAGGTTGCTTCTCTCCTTGATTAGTTTCCATCGTTGCATCTTGTCCTGCCTTCAGGCGCTTTGGAGAATAGCTTGATTCCCTCTTCTTTGTGGCAGCCCCTGAGCCCTCGACCATTTGTTTAGCAATTGTTCAAAATGATGATGGTACTGAAAAAAAGTGAACTATGGCCAGTCCTCACACTTATGACTGCAGCATCTCCATAGTCGTGTGATCAAAATTTGTGCGCTTAGCACCAGGTGTGTTTATGATGGTTGCGATGTCCTGGAGGTCATGTGATTGCCATTTGAGACCTTCTAGCAGGCTTCCACCAAGCAAAGTTAATGTGGGAAGCCAGATTCACTAAACAACTGTTTCACTTAAGAACTGCAATGACTTGCTTAACAATCATGGCAAAGAAAGTGGTAAACTTTCGGGCACAACTCTGTTAACTGCCACTTTGCTTAGCCATGGAAATTCAGCCTCAGTGGTGATCACAAATTGAGGACTGTATCAAAACTGGGTCTTTGACTGAAATACCAGTGATAAATTAAAGAACTAGACCTCTAATCCAGCTTTGTTCCATGAGCCTATATATTTTTCCCCTTTTTAAATGCTTTATTTCCTTTATATATTGGGTTGGCTCTCCATCATGCACGTAGGAGACCTAACACCAACTCTGCCTTGAGTTCAAATTGCTAGGAGGTTTGGAAAGATAGGGGAAAAAAAGGAATAGTATGTGGAAAACCCAGAGAGAACAACAAAAAAAGAGGAACAGAAGCAATTGAACAAAAAGAGAAAGAGGAAGGAAGGAAGGAAGGAAGGAAGGAAGGAAGGAAGGAAGGAAGGAAGGAAGGAAGGAAGGAAGGAAGGAAGCTATCAAGCATGTACTAATTTCACTTTCAAAGAAATTGAATTTTTCGAAAGCAATATGAGTTATATTTCCAAAAGAAACAAAGCTGCTTTTATTACCTTAAATGGTGTTTGAAATAGAACTGAGGGTGACATTTTCTTCTGTGTGTTTTTTAATATCTTCCAGGAGGACTATATCCCCTATTCCAGCATTGATGAGGTATGTATTCAAGGGTGGGGGGAGCCATTAGAAAGATTACTAAAAGAAAGCTATTGAAAAGTTTAAAGCCAAGCTGGTGAGCTATTTTCATGCTGAAGTCACCTTTAAATGGGGATCAAAAATCTCAAGGTAACAACCTTGCAATTGAAAAGCCACACCTTTGCCATGTGTGCTGCTTTTTTTTTTTTAATATGGCACATTTGGGGCTACTCTCGTGCCTTTTTTTAAAAAAATCCCTCCCCACCCCAGCTCCTGATGCTTCTGCTGCTCTACTATATATAAATTGGTTTTGTATAAATTGGAAAATGCCTTCAGCTGAAAAAGCTACAGGCGTATGAATGCTAAAAATAAACATTAAAGAATGTTAAGAATGCTTTAAAGAAGTGAGGCAACTATTGGAAATGAAGGTAAATATAAGTGTCCCAAGAGAATGTTGCAAGATCCAGTCTGAGTCGGTCACCTGGATCAAAGGTTTATTCTTCCAAGCTTTTGAGCTGGTGCTGGAGCCCATCATCAGGAAACTTCACTCTCCAAAATATGTGTACTGGGCTGTTCTACACTTTGTATTTATATGGTTTCTGGTGTGTAGCTTTTAGTTGGTAATTAGGGAGTTGATGGCTGGTTTTAAGTCATTAGTTATTGCTTCCTTTGTCTGCTGCACATCAGCTCCTAAGTAGATAATAGGCAGGTGGGTGGGTACTTAGGAATGAGAATATGGTAGCAGAAAGAAACAACAATTACTGTGTTTCCACCAAAATAAGACCAGATCTTATATTAATTTTTGCTCCAAAAGACACATTAGGTCTTATTTTCAGGGAAATACAGTGCTAAATGGGTCCATTTGGCTGACTATCTGAACTGGGGCTTATTTTTTGGGTGGAGCTTATATTATGAGTGTCTTAAAAAATCATGCTCGGGCTTATTTTTCTTTTGGGTCTTATTTTTGGGAAAACACAGTAATAATAATAGCCAGACATCAACATCCTAATTAACAACTAAAAGTTACATACAACCAGGAACCATATACTATAAATATAACCTGTAGAAAAGCTCAGTTCACATATTCTGGAGAGGGAGGGAGGGAGAGAGAGGGAGAGGGAGATGGAGAGGGAGAGGAAGGGAGAGGGAGAGGGAGAGAGAGAGAGGAGAGAGAGGGAGAGGAAGGGAGAGGGAGAGAGAGGGAAAGAGGGAGAGAGAGGGTGAGGGAGAGGGAGGGAGAGAGAGAGGAGAGAGGGAGAGGAAGGGAGAGGGAGGGAGAGGGAGAGAGAGGGAAAGAGGGAAGGAGGGAGAGAGAGGGTGAGGGAGAGGGAGAGAGAGAGAGGGGGGGAGAAGTTCTCGGATGATGGGCTCCAGTACAAGCTTGGAAGAATAAAGCTTTGGTCCTGGTGATTGATTCAGATTGGATTCTAAGGCCACTATTCTTCAACATCACACAATCTAAATGTGTTTTGATGTGTTCTCACTACGATTCCTAATAATCAGGTATAAGCAAAAAAAATATGTGGTTGGCACCAGGTTGGGGATATTCAGAATAAATATCTTTGCAGTCTGCACATACAGAAGCAATTTTAATCAAAGATCCAGAGACTGGAAACATGAACTCTGGAGGTTTCTGACCAGACCTATCTTTTCTCCAGGATTAACGCCACATTCAGAAGTCTTTTGTTAAATCCTTTGATTCATATCTTGAGAATGTGGTTGCAACAGAGTTGTGTGGCATTTGAGACATCACTTTTTTTTAACCTGTTGGGATAGCGAGTGTAAAGAGTGTAAGATGGCATTTTAATGTGACTTACTTTAGAATGGGTTGGAACAACTATAACACAACAAAGCCTGAAAATGGAGTTGAACATTTCTTCTGTGTCCATATTTACACACAAGCCTGAGAATCGAATCTGCCCTGAAATATTTACAGGAGTGTTTCTCAACCTTGATAATTTTAAGATAGATAGACTTCAACTCCCAGAATTCCCCAGCCAGCATGATTCAGCTGGGACTTGAGGTCCACGCAGCTGAAAGTTGCCAAAGTTGAGAAATACTGATTTATGGAATCAACATTTGCATTTCATTCAATGGCCTCCTGCGTCAGACCAAGGTAGCTGTGACAAGCCAAGCACATTGTCCTAAAGTGGCATCTGATAACCATTTCTTTCCCTCTCCAAACAGATTTTAGAAAAAGGGAGTCCCTACCCTTTAATCATCTTGCCTCAATTTGGGGGATACTGGATTGAAGACCCCGAGAACCTCAGCACCCCCACTTCCTCCGAAAGCAGCATCTGTGATGAAGAGGAGGAACTGCTCAGCCCCAGCACTTACGGCTACAAACTGGAGTACAAAGGTGAAGCCAAGGCATATCGGAAACATTTCTTAGGAAAGGTTAGTGGGAAAGGAGGTGTGTGCTCCATTACACACATGGTTATGCGGAGCTTAAAGGGTTGAGCAAACTTCTGTGGCATTGCATGTCAGGGAATATTTGCAGAATGAATGAATGAATGAATGAATGGTAATCTTTATTGTTCACTTTTTCCTGTGGGCACAACAGCACACTTTAAAAATGAAATTTAGTTGCTTGCTCTCTAGTGTACACATACATCACACACATTTAAAAGCATACTATATACAACATACATATAGACCTATACCCTTAGATATAAATAACATATAAATACTAATCGCTGTCCATCTTGAATACATAACGGAAGGAGGAAGCTTTAGAATTCACAAGGTTAATACTATATGGAACAAAACTGTGACTGAATCTGGATGTTCTGCTTCGGTACTATTACTATTACTATTACTAGACAATCTTGCGGACCCTCCTCAAGGCGGTTCAATCTGTCATTCAGGGAAGGTTGCAAAGGTGTTCCATTTATATTTCTGCAAATGTAACATTGTTGATGGGGGGACAGTCAAACAGCAAAGCACAGAACAGGAAGTTGGATCAACCAGTCAGCAAGCAGGACGCATACCTCTGCACAACACACATTTGGGATTTGGGTGGTGTATGCATTGGCCTGCCTGCTGCCATCTGCAACCTATACTTACCCATCAATCCCTGTGCGGTGTAAGTAATCAGCTAATGATTAAAATCTCATTTATGATGATTACCAAAAGTTGTTTAGTATGGAAGAATAGAAATAGTTCTCAACTTATGACCACAACTAAGCGTAGAATTCCTGTTGCTAAGTTAGACATTTGCTAAGTGAGTTTTGCCTCATTCTATGACCTTCCTTGCCACATTTGTTAAGTGAGTCGCTGCAGTTGTTAAGTTAGTAACATGGTTGTTAAATGAATCTGGCTTTCCAGATTCTTGTCAGAAGGTCACAAAAGGAGATCACATGATTCCAGGACATTGCAACAGTCATAAATATGAGCCAGTTGCCAAGTTTCCGAATTTTGATTGTGTGACCAAGCTGCAACAGTCGTGTGAAAACTGCTTATAAGTCGCTTTTTTCAGTGCTGTTGTAACTTTGAACAGTCACTAAATGAACTGTTGTAAGTCAAGGACTACCTGTAGTTCAGTCTTGTCCAGAATCAGATTAAATCAGCCTTTACCTCTTAAGAAATTTGCAAAGAAGATAATGTTAGTATTCAAGATTTTGACACTTTGTCTGGACCAGCTTTAAGGGCTGACATTACTGAATATTCAAAAAACACCGAGCTTCCAGATTCTGGATAAATATGAACTATTCTCTTGTACTAAAAAAACTTGGTAACCATCATAATAGCAATAGCACTTAGACTTATATACTGCTTATAATGCTTTATAGCCCTCTCTGAACGCTTTACAGAGTCAGCATCTTGCCCCTAACAATTTGGCTCCTCATTTTACCAACCTCAAAAAGATAGAAGGTTGAGTCAACCTTGAGCCGATCAGGATCGAACTCCCGGCTATGGGCAGAGTTACCCTGCAATACTGCATTCTAACCACTGCATTACCAGGGCTCTCAAATTTTAATCATTAACTGTTAATTTGTAGACGGTCCTGTTCCCTATACCTTAAGTGTATATTGGAAAGACAGAAAAGATGCATATAGTGGAGGAGTAGACAAGCTCTCCCATAAGGGGCGGTGCAGTTAAGATGCTGAACTTATCAGCAGCCCAGGTTCAAGACTCGAGTGCCACATGACTGGATGAGTTCCCATCCTCGCTCCAGTTCCTGGTCATCTAACAGTTAGAAAGCATGCAAATGGGAGTAGATAAATAGGTACCACTTCCATGGGAAGGTAACAGCGCTCTGTGACATCATGCTGGCCCCAGGACCAGGGAAATATCTTTGGACAGCATTGGCTCAATGACTTTGAAATGGAGAAGAGCATGGAATAAAATCCTCAGGGACTCCTTACCCACAAGGAAAGACTTGTAGAACTGTGCTCAGTCTGGAAACTAACTGCCATAGGGAGTTTTCTACCCATGTACTCTCATAGTATAAAAATTCAGGGTCATCCATTAAAATTTACTCAGGGTTATCCATTTAACCTTAATGTGGGAAGATTCATGTTACTACACACCTAGAGAAGACTACAGTATATCTTTAGAACTGTGGAGCCCCGGTGCTCTCTGAGCTTCGTTGTTTCCTTGCAAACATTCTATTTTCCAGCTAGGCAACATGTTCAATGCATTGTTATTTGGAGTACACAACTAGAAGGGTGGGGGGGGGGACAGAAAGAACATTAATAAAAGGAAATTTTGGGGAAAGGAAATTGTGGAAGGAGGGGAATGAAATTTCAACATAGTATTAAACCAGAGCTGGGCATTTTATGACCTCTGAGCCGCATCTGGCCCTTTGGCTGTTTCTCTCCAGCCCAAATGAATTTCTTTTATTTTGAAGAAGACTGCTACTTTTTCCCCCCAATGTACATATGTGCAGGCATCCTTGCCTATGCACCTTCACAGCCCTATTGGTTGGGCCCTCCACAACAGCCCCAGTTTCCAATGTGACCCCTTGGGAAAATTAATTGCCCACCCCTATGTTAAACAGCGGCCACCAAATTCAGCGATGGCCACCAATTTATCTGGTTTAAAGAAGAACTGTCCATGGCGAGCTACTAGTTTAGAGAAGATGGTCTCTTGTCCCAGAGGCAGCATGCCTGTTATATATGTGGGTTATGATAGACTTTCTTTCATCTCTCTTGGGTAGGTCAGTCCCTACCCAAGGGACACAGAATGCTGGGTTAAATATTAAATATTCTCTGTGTTGCCCAGCTTAATTCTCCTGTGTTCTTTGCGGATGTATCTGAGAGGTAGATCCTGGATTCACATCTCAGAAGGTCCATAAAATTCAGCACTGTGCAGCTATTAAAATAAAAATAGATATCTGGCCCCATTTCTGTCTGCTGGAACATTGGTGAAAGAGACCAATGCGCTGAAGAGCTCCCAAAATCTTTTAAAATGAAAAGGGAACTGATGAAAACGTATTTAGGTTGATGTCAGGGAGCAGAGAGAAAAAGGCGAGTGTATGTGAAGAAGGAAAAGAAAAAAAAAGAGGAAGAAAAGAAAAAAGGGGGAAGAGGAAGAAGGGAGATAGGTGAGACTGAGGAAAAAAGGAAGGAAGGATTAAAGCACCTGAAGGCAGGAGAAGAAGCGATGGATGGGAACTAATCAAGGAGAGAAGCAACCTAGAACTAAGGAGAAATTTCCGGACAGTTAGAAGAATTAACCGGTAGAATGGCTTGCTGTCAAAAATTGTGGGTGCTCCATCACTGGAGGTTTTTAAGAAGAGATTGGACAGCCATTGTCCAGAAGGGTATAAGGTCTCCTGCTTGAGCAGGGGGCTGGACTAGAAGACCTTCAAGGTCCCTTCCAACTCTTTTATTCTGTTATTATAGGAAGGAAGGAAGGAAGGAAGGAAGGAAGGAAGGAAGGAAGGAAGGAAGGAAGGAAGGAAGGAAGGAAGGAAGGAAGGAGAGAAGAGAGGGAGGGAAGGAAGGAAGGAAGAAGGGAGGGAGGGAGGGAGGGAGGAAGGGAGGGAGGGAAAGAAGGTCCAATAGGATTGGTGTGATCTGTTGTCTCTGTGCTTGTGATGGCCTACTTAGGGATGGGGCAAATAAAGTTGGATGTAGAAGAAAGTTACAAATAGTCCTTGGCTTACTCTTGTTTTAGTGACTGTTCAAACTTACCATGGCACTGAAAAAAAGTAACGACTTGGTCTTCACCCTTATGACCATTGCAGCATTCCCACGGCCACGTGATCAAAATTTAGATGCTTGGCAACAGGCATGTATTTTTGATGGTTGCAGCATCTCAGGGTCACGTGATCACAATTTATCACCTCCCCAGCTTCCAACAAGTAAATTCAATGGGGGAAGCCAGGTTCGCTTAACGACCTGATGATTCACTTAACAACTGCCGTGGTTTGATTAACAGCAGTGGCAAAATGATCTTAAAATCAGCTCTGACTCAATTAACAATTGCCTTGCTTAGCAATGGAAATTCAGATCCAAATTTCGGTCGTAAGTCAAAGACGATCTGTACTTTTCCAAGTTGGGGCTGGTCTTACCTGCCCATCAATCTTATTATGCTCAGTGCGTTCTAAGATCTGCAATCCCTAGCATTGCATGGCGGGGCCCCAACCCCAAAATCGCAGAATGTTATGTGTATAAATGTTTCTTGTAGCCCCAAAGAATTTGCAAGGTGTTTATAAACTATGGATGAGTCACTTGTGATTACCTTTGGGTGCTAAAAATGAGCCAAAGATCAACAATGAAACCATAGAAGGCAGGGAGAACAAGTTAACTCACTAAGTTTAGAGTCTTTGGGGTTTTTTCTCTGATCCTCTTTAACACACTCTTTCTATCTTTAGGATCATTTAAATTTTTACTGCACAGCCAGCAGCCTGGGGAATATGATCCTTTCCATTAAATGCGAAGAGGCAGATGGAATTGAATATCTACGGATTATTCTCAGGTAAAGAGAAGGCATAAAGGAAACAGTATATATAGAAAACAAAAATGCATTGATTGAAAAAAAAACAACAGAGAAGAGCAACTAAGATGATCAAAGGCCCGGAGACTAAAATATACAAAGAATGGGACTTGGGTCTGGCTACTCTACTCTACTCTACTCTACTCTACTCTACTCTACTCTACTCTACTCTACGTCTATTCTGTTCTGTTCTGTTCTATTCTACTCTACTCTACTCTACTCTACTCTACTCTACTCTACGTCTATTCTATTCTATTCTATTCTATTCTATTCTTATTCTTATTCTATTCTATTCTATTCTGTTCTATTCTACTCTTATTCTACTCTACTCCTATTCTATTCTACTCTTATTCTACTCTACTCTACTCTACTCTACTCTATTGAAAGTTCTGTTCATTAATTTCTCTGGCAGCATTTCAGTATGAATACTTTTTAAAGAAGGGGCATGATGGCTCAGCAATTAAAGACACTGAGCTTGTCAGCTGGAAAATTGACACCCAGGTTCAAGACCTGGTGCCACATGACGGGGGTGAGTTCCCGTTCCTTGCCCCAGCTCCTGCCCACCTAGCAGTTGGAAAGCATGCAAATGCAAGTAGATTAATAGGTACCACTTTGGTGGGAAGGCAACAGTGTTCCCCGCGCCTTTGGCCTATAGCCATGCTGGCCATCTGACACGGAAAATGTCTTCGGATAACTCTGGTGCCTTCGGCCAAGAAATGTAGATGAGTGGAACATGATTGGACAGATAAATGTTAACTTTTGCTGATTGAAGTTTGTGTACTACAGCTAAATAATTCCCGGTCAAGATTGGCCATTATGATTTGAATTCTGGGAGTTTAATCCCAACAACCTAGAGGACATATTGTCACTGGCATTAAATTCTTACACTGAGCTGAATTATAACATTACTTATTTCTTTTTGACCTTGTCTAATACAGGTAGACCTTAACTTACATCAGTTCATTAAGTAATCATTTGAATTTACAACAGCACTGAAAAAAGTGACTTATGACCATTTTTCACATTTACGACTATTGCAGTAGCCCCGTGGTCACATGATCAAAAGGCTTGGTGACTGACTCGTATGGTTGCAGTGTCCTGGAGTCATGTGATCCCCTTTTGTGACCTTCTGACAAGCAAAGTCAATGGGGAAGCCAAGATTCACTTAACAACTGTGTTACTAACTTAAGAACTGCACTAATTCATTTAACAACTGTGGCAAGAAAGGTCATAAAATGGGGCAAAATTCACTTAACAACCATCTCAGCCAGAGAAATTTTGGGCATTGTGGTCATAAGTCAAGGACTAAGTGTATTGGAAGCCTACTGTTGTGGTTGATATATAAGGGCTTGACAGCTGTGTTAAAGCACACCAGTGCCCTGTGCATATCCAACTGTAGAGTTAGAACATGACTTTCTACTATGCATTTATCCAGGGGTGGACTTAAACATGCTTCCATTAAACTATTTGCATGACGTGTTGAATGATAGAGCACACAGGCTGAATATGCCTAGTACTCCTGGTTGAGATGTGATGGGCTGGTTTGTGGTTTATTGTGTTGAGCAATAAAGAGATTTGTACATAGAAGATCCCAATCTGACCTCTGGCATTTATAGACTTGGAAAGAGCACCTATATGATGCATTAGTAAGACAACAACAGCCAAATAAGACTTCATATACAGTACTCTTTGACTTATGACTGGTTACTTAGTGCTTTTGGGCACTCTGCAATTGGTCCGCATTTACAATTGTTTGCAGGTCCCATGGTCACAGGAGCACAATTTATGACGTTTTTGTCAGAACTGCCCCATAGTGAACAATGACTGTGGCATTCAACAACTACAAAAAAAGTTGTAAAATTGGGGGTGGGGTCATATGGTGACCTGTTTTATAACTTTCATGACTTACAACCAAAGTTGTAGGCTCAATTATGGTTGTAAATCAAGGACTTCCTGTAAGCAATTTCTGAGACTGCAAGATCTGGAATCCACCAAGTTGCCTTCTTTTAGAATCATAGTACTATAAAGGGACTGTTAGGTCAAGGAATTCATTCTCATCTCTCTGTGTAGGAATCTACTCTGCTTGAATACCTTAAATGAAAGGCATGCCACCATAACTGTAGGGTCATTGGTCACTGTAGATCATCCTGGAGATACTGAAATAAGTATATTAATAGTAGGATGAAAAGATCTTCCATCTTCTCATACCTAGGGCAGTGTTTTTCCAGAATGGAGCAACTTTCCACAGCCAACTCGCTGAGGCCAACACACCACAGCCAACTTGCCACAGCCAACTAACTATAGGCAATTCTCTGCAGGACAACTCACTACGGCCAACTCACCATGGGACAACTCACTGTGGGATGATTTCACAATTCTATTTAATTACTTAAAATAAGTAAAAAATAATAATTTTTGCCATTCACATTCCTTTCTGTCCCTGCTTTTGCATCCTTTCCTCAATGTTTCTATCCCACTATTTTTGATATAATAATAATAATAATAATAATAATAATAATAATAATAATAATAATAATAATAATAAGTTGGAAGGGACCTTGGAGGTCATCTAGTCCAGCCCCCTGCTCAGGCAGGAAACCCTATACTATTTCAGACAAATGGCTGTCCAGTCTCTTCTTAAAAACTTCCAGTGTTGGAGCATTCACAGCTTCTGGAGGCAGGTTGTTCCACTGGTTAATTGTTCTAACTGTCAAGAAGTTTAGTGTAACTCTTGTCCTGTGCCGAGTTGGCTGCGGCAAGTTTGCTGCGGTGAATTGGCCGCGGAGACGTGGCCACAGTGAGTTGGCCTTGGCAAATGATCATAGACCTGTGTTTGTCAACCTTAGCAACTTGAAGATGTGTGGACTTGGATAAGTGGATGATGCTGGCTAGGGAATTCTAGGAGTTGAAGTCCACACATTTTCAAGTTGCCACGGTTGAGTAAACATCTCCCTCTCAATCAGTTGACCCATGGCTTTTCCTCACTGATGCAAATCCTTGGGGGCTGTTCTCACCAGCCTTGTTCAGTGGGTTGATTTGGATTGACAACAAGATGATACTGTATATTAAAAGATGACAGCGCATCCTTGAGGACCCTTTGGGTGTGCTGAAGTTTCTATGGAGTCCAAAAGTTTTTGCTACATGAGAGAGATGAAGTGAAGACAACAGGATGTTCTGTAGCCGCTTAATGATGGATCTGAGTTTCTTTGGGCTTTAAAAATTATTTAACAGCCCTTTAAGTTTGTTCTTTGGTAATGAGTTTGGCAATGAACATTGTTTGCTTGACCTACAGTAAAGCCCAAGGAAATCAGTAGGAAAACAATCCCTTGAAAAGATATTGGAAAATATCAATTATATATAGCACCGTTTCTTCTGTCCGTAATGTCTTATCCTCTTATTCCCCCAACAAATTACTGATGTTTCAAAGGAAACGGGAACTGGAGATGGTAACCGTAACAACCATGTCCAAATGAAACCTTTCTGAAAGGTTCAAAACAATCTACCGATCTTTTCGTTTTAATAGAACCTAGCGATATTGCTACACTGTCACCGCCTATGTCTGATTCTCTCTTTTGGCCTTCCATAGGTCCAAAGTAAAAACATTACATGAAAGAATCCCTTTAGCTGGACTCAGCAAGCTGCCCAACATTCCTCAGATTGCAAAGGTAGGTTGCTTGGAGTTATAATCCTAACGATCGTGGTTGTGATCCTTAGTAGACTGAGATTTTAGAGGTTGGGCTTTATCATTACAGAAAATACATCCCCCCAAACATCAGTGATTGCAAGGAAAAATGATCACGATGGAAACAAGAATTAAACACAGACAAAAACATATAAGCTGGACAGCTTTGGCTCCAAAGGTGTCTTTGGTACAGACCAGGGGTAGGCAACCTTGGCTCTTTTATGATTCGTGGACTTCAACTCCCAGAATTCCTGAGCCGGCATGGCTCAGCATGGAAACCTCTCCCTTTCTCCTCAGCATAGCTGGCTCAGGAATTCTGGGAGTTGAAGTCCACGAGTCATAAAAGAGCCAAGGTTGCCTACCCTTGGTACAGACAGTTGAGGTGGACACTGTTGGGGTAGAGTGGTAAAAATGTGAAACTAGAAATTAGATCCATAGTAAAGAGGCAGTTCATATTTATTAGGGCAAGTTATACATGGCTCAGTGTCTTAATGACACTGGAGATGATTTCTGCTCCAGTGGTTTGAGTCCTAGCATTGCCTGTCGGGGTGAGTTCCTGTCACTCACCTCAGCTTCTGTCCACCTAACAGTTCGAGAGCATGTTCTGTGTGAGTAGATAAAATAGGTACCACTTCAGAGGGTGGAATGAGCTGCTGCTCGGTGCAGGCAGTCAGATTCCTGCCCCCTGAACTTTCCCCGTTGTGGTGTCTATTGGTGAGGCGGCTCCAGGGAGGAAGGGGGCTTTGGATGACACTGCAGGAAGAGACCCTTGTCTTTCTTTCTGGTGTGAAGCCAGATCGCCCTCTAGAGGTGCACCATGGGAAGTGCGCTAGCGTTTCCTACAACAGAACTGGTACTTTGGCAGCCAGGTACTTTGGTGTTGTTGTTAGTTGCGAAGTCGTGCCTGACCCATCGCGACCCCATGGACAACGTTCCTCCAGGCCTTCCTGTCCTCTACCATCTTCTGGAGTCCATTTAAGCTCACGCCTACTGCTTCAGTGACTCCATCCAGCCACCTCCTTCTCTGTCGTCCCCTTCTTCTATTGCCCTCAATCTTTCCCAGTATTAGGCCCTTCTCCAGTGAGTCACTTGGGTAATGTAACAATTGGTAATGTAACACTGTAGTCTCTTGGGTAATGTAACAATGCCATATACTACTACTACTACTACTACTACTACTACTACTACTACTACTACTACATAATAATAATAATAATAATGATGATGATGATGATGATGATGATGATGATGAAGCAAGTTATTATCATCCAAAAATAATGTATGCTGTTTAGGGTGGGGAAAATCTAGAAGAAAAGTTGCTGTCTCTCAGATCCCCACCTACCCCTTCATTGGCCTAAATCAATTCCACAATTGTGATACAACAAAGAAAGTTATTTTGCTTGTTTTGTATTATCTTTGACTTCCCCCAAAGGGGTGTTTGTAAAGGGCTGCTTGACTTTCTCCAAAGGGCTGCTATGTCTCTGGGGTCCTAAATTCTCACTTACCATTTGCTGTGTTTCTAAACAGGCCTTCTGTGATGACGCCACTGGATTAAAGTTTCACCCCGTGCTCTATCCCAAGGTAAGCTAAGCAATGATGCACAAACCTAATTCCAGAAGGAAATTGATGTGCAGATTAAACTATGCTAGAAGATTTCCAAGGTCCTTTTCAGCCCCCTGATTCTATGAACTGCACGCACACAGGTTTATCTGTAGAATTGAAATGCACCAATTTGTGAACGTAGGCTTCCCTGATTCTAAATATCGTGGAGAGGCACAAAAATGGCCAGGAGAGAGATTTTCATCAATTTGCAGCATATGCCTCAGAATTGTCACCTGGGATTAACGATAAATTCCCTAGGCACCTGAAAAGAGAATGCAATTAGATCAGAGTTGGGTTGATTTACCTGCTTAGTCTGACTTATTTTTGACCCCCACTCAAGAAAAAAATGAATCTGAACCTAAAAGAGCTTTGCAGGAAGAGGATGGTTATCATAAAAGCAGGCTAAAGAATCTGATAAGTGGAGTTAGTGAAAATATGGATGGCCTTGCTCTACTTTTTGCAGGTATGCAACAGAAACTAAGGACCAGCATAAACATTTGAATTGACAGCAGCTTTCAGGGAGATCAGATAACTAAAGATGTTGAGCAAAGTCATTTTTGAGTGCTCAGCTCTACTGATGGGATGCGATCAGAAGTTTTCAGGCGAGGTATTGCAAAAGGAGAGGGTTAGAGTAGCTACAGCAAAGGATGGCATGATGATGGATAGAGAAAAGAGAGAGGCATGGTTGAGAATGGAGCAGCTTGAGAAGGGAACCTTCTGTGTGGGGTCCTTGGTGCTTGTTAGTTTTCTTGCAGACATTTCATTACCAAACTAGGTAACGTCATCAGTGCACTAATGAAATGTCTGCAAGAAAACCACCAAGCTCAGAAAACACCACGGACCCCATAGTTCAACCCTGAACTACAAATATTTCCTTCTATTGAAACCTTCTTTGGACAAGGTTGGTTTGGAATGTGTCTGAAAAGCCTCATTCCAAATAGAGGCGTCTTCGAAATGTATTCCTGGTTTTGTTCTTTTTGTTGCCTGTCTTTTCTGTACTACACCTGTGCAAGGAGCTTCGGGAAATACAGTCAGGTCATCCTATAGGACTAGAGGCCTCAGGGAATCTGTAGCTCAGATGTTCTTCAACATTTTAGGTGATGAAGTGAGAGATGGAGCAGAAGCTTCAGAATACAGGGAAAGAGATTCAGACATTGGTCTGTACCTGATAACAGAGAGCTTCAGTGATTGAAATTCTTACATTTTAAAGTAGGTCTACTGTATGTGCCTGGCTCTGGAATTACAGTTATTCTCCAACAGAGGCTTTTCTAAGTTAAATATTAAGAAGAGTTCCTCTGTGACAAAGATGAGTGGTTTCAAAAATGTGATAAATAAAATAATAAATTATATAAAAAAAATAGGCCAGTGAACAAATACGGGATTTCTATACCCTTGAAGCATGTTCTCTACGGGTGTCCTTGACTTATGACAGTTGGGACCAGAATTTGCTTTGCTAAGCAAGGCAATGGTTAAGGGAGTTGTACCCGATTTTATGACATTTTTTTGCCACAGTTGTTAAGCGAATCTCTCCAGTTGTTAAGTGAATCATGTTGTTGTTAAGCGAATCTGGCTTTCCCCATTGACTTAGCTCGTTGGAAGCCACCTGGAAAGGTCATAAATGGTGATCACATGACCCTGGGACTTTGCAACTGTTGTAAATGCATGTTGGTTGTCAAGAGCCCAAATTTTGATCATGTGACCACAGAGATGCTGTAATGGTCGTAAGTGTGAGGATTGGTTGTAAGTCACCTTTTCAGTGCCACTGTACCTTTGAACAGTCACTAAATTAATGAGTATAAGTCGAGACCTTTTGCTTTTGTCTGCAACTTCCCCCCCCCCCCCAAAAAGGGATACTTCCCAAATTTATTAAAGGACTTTCTTTCTTTACAAATTATTCTATGACTCCCTCCTTCTTCTTTCTCCTACTTCAGGCATCACAATTGATAGTATCCTACGATGAACATGAACTTAACAACACATTCAAGTTTGGGGTGATTTACCAGAAGTTTAAGCAAGTGAGTGATTTCTTTTATTGGAGCAATAATATTTCTGTTGTTTTGGTGGTGATTTGACCGTTTAAGGAAGCTTTTCTCAATCATAGCCACTTTAAAATGTGTGGAGTTCAACAATTCTGTGGTTAAAAAAATGATCATTAACATAGTATAAATGTTTTTTTATATATGTGTATGTGTGTGAATAATAACTGCATTAGATAACTTATAAAGAATTGTAACTATATTGCTAAAATGATGTACTTTTTTTCTTTGTTGGTTTTTTTCACTTTTTTAAAAGCCATTTTTATGCCTTTTATTTATTTGACTATACATTTTTATCTTTGTGGTTGTTGTCCTGTTTTTGTCATTATTTTAAAAAGCAATAAAAGAATAAACAATAGCCAATAAAAAAGAGTTTGTAGAATTTCTTGGTCCAGCTCCACCTATGCTGTGGAAAAAAAGAATAATCACTCTTCTGAACATCTTTTCTTTCCTCCCTCCCTCCCTCCCTCCCTCCCTCCCTCCCTCCCTCCCTCCCCCCTCCCTCCCTCTCTGTCTAGAGCAGTGGTTCTCAACCTGTGGGTTGGGACCCCATTTGGGGTCGAACGACCATTTCACGGGGGTCGTCAAACAACGCAGTCCGCCATTTTTTCCCTTTTTCCTTAGCTGTGCTACTCCCTTTTATGCTATTGGCTTTTGAAAGCCAATAGAATAGACTCTCTTGAATAGAGTCTAATTCTATTGGCTTTCAAAAGCCAGTAGGAATTGTCCAGGCTGTCTCTGCCCTGCTGAGCCTGCCAAAAGTCCCATTCTGCAAACGGTGCTGCACCAGTTGAATAGTCCTCGACTTATGACCGGTTGAGTAGTCCTCGACTTATGACCGGTTGGGGGTCGCAGCATTAAAAAGGTTGAGAACCACTGGTCTAGAGAGAGGAGTAGATAACTAGTTAGTGACAATACTTATTTAGAGAGGAAGTTGATTACCTCCCACCATAAAAACCAAATGCACAAGTACAGCATAGGTGGCACCATGCTCAATAGTAGTAACTGTGAGAGGGACCTCGGAGTCCTAGTAGACAATCACTTAAATATTAGCCAGCAGTGTGCTGCAGCTGCCAAAAAGGCCAACACAGTGCTAGGCTGCATTAACAGAGGGATAGAATCAAGATCACGTGAAGTATTAATACCACTCTTCAATGCCTTGGTAAGGCCACACTTGGAATACTGCATCCAGTTTTGGTCACCACGATGTAAAAAAGATGTTGAGACTCTAGAAAGAGTACAGAGAAGAGCAACAAAGATGATTAGGGGACTGGAGGCTAAAACATATAATGAACGGTTGCGAGAATTGGGTATGTCTAGTTTAACGAAGAGAAGGACAAGGGGGGACATGATAGCAGTATTCCAATATCTCAGGGGCTGCCATAAAGAAGAGGGAATGAAGCTATTTTCCAAAGCACCTGAAGGCAGGACAAGAAGCAACGGGTGGAAACTAATCAAGGAGAGAAGCAACCTAGAACTAAGGAGAAACTTCCTGACAGTGAGAACAATTAATCAGTGGAACAGCTTGCCTCCAGAAGCAGTAAATGCTCCAACACTGGAAGTTTTTAAGAAGAGACTGGACAGCCATTTGTCCGAAATGGTGTAGGGTTTTCTGCCCGAGCAGGGGGTTGGACTAGATGACCTCCAAGGTCCCTTCCAACTTTACTATTACTATTATTATTATTATTATTATTATTATTATTATTATTATTATTATTATTATTATTATTATTATTATTATTATTATTATTATAGGAATAATCTCTTCCAAAATTTAGTTTTGCTGCTGGTCGTTTCAAAATAAAGATGAGTTTTGTTTGGAATTGCTTTGTCTTTCCAGACACAGGAAGAAGAATTGTTTGGGAACAATGAAGAGAGTCCTGCCTTCCAAAACTTCTTGAACTTGTTGGGAGAAACCATTACACTACAGGATTTCAAGGGGTAAGTTAAGCAAGTAATCATTCACATGGCTCCTTCCTTCTTTCCTTCCTTCCTTCCTTCCTTCCTTCCTTCCTTCCTTCCTTCCTTCCTTCCTTCCTCCCTCCCTCCCTCCCTCCCTCCCTCCCTCCCTCCCTCCCTCCCGCCCTCTTTCTTTCTTTCTTTCTTTCTTTCTTTCTTTCTTTCTTTCTTTCTTTCTTTCTTTCTTTCTTTCTTTCTTTCTTTCTTTCTTTCTTTCTTTCCCCTAGTACCAAAGGTCTCCAATCTTGTTCTGATTCCTTTTCAGCTTTCGAGGGGGCCTAGATGTCACTCACGCCCAGACAGGCACAGAATCGGTATACACGGTGTTCAGGGACAGAGAAATTATGTTCCACGTCTCCACCAAGCTTCCCTTCACAGAGGGTGATACCCAGCAGGTAAGTAAGAGCTGACCTTTCTCTTTCGAGATACAATACCAGGGCAGCACAAGGGATGGTGTGGCAAAGTGAACATTGTGTAACCGGTAATGGAAGGAAAAGTGTGAATTGCTTTCGCCCAGTGTGCTCAGGCCTTGTGATTGAATAACCCTCTTCAGGGAAGTTGCACAGACAGACGGATGCTTGTTTTTCCTTTTATTTCTGTCTTTTAGAGACCAAATTTCCTCTTGCAGAAGCTTGCCGTTTTGTTCCTTTATATTTTGCACCCAGATTCTCGTTTTATGAAACTGTAGGTTCCTTATGCCCCATTTCTGCATCGTTTGTGAAAAAGGGTTTTATGCAGATTCATGGGAATTTCTACAAATGTTCCTTTTGATAACCCCGTTCCTTTTTTTAACCTGTGCATCATCAAGGGTGGGTATCATTCCCAGTTAGAATTATAAATACAAACATGTATATGCATACACACAAGTGCACATATTTTTGTGCCGTTAACTTGGGTGGCTGAAGGCTGTTGTTGCTTTTGAATTGCTGGCCAGATGTGCACTCCCCCACATAGGGCAGAACCTTAACTCTTACTAACTTGGCTTATTAGACCAATTCATTTTCTGGGTTCACTTCATGTCCAGAGCCTTAAACTCATCAAATGTCTGGAGTGGCAGTTTGCTACAGCATGGAAAGAATGACTAAATTTAAGCTTTGCTTTTTGCACAAATGCAGTTACTTGGTCTTTCCCAAACCTGGTGTCAGAAGAATAATTTGGGGTTCCAATTTGAGCTGGGGCTGCGCAAGAATAAATAAAAATGAGAATCAAACAGGAGATCTTCAGGAAAGAAGAAATATTTATTCCTAAAAGCAAAGAGTTTGCCTTTAGGGGCAGCTGCAGAGAAATGGGGTATAACAGCAGATTTTTTTATAGGGGCAGCTTATTCGGGGTGAAGTGTCTATGTGCTGATTCTAGGGGGGGTGACACCTGAGGGGCATTTGTGTGCGTAGGTATGTTTATCCTTGTGAACATGCAGTTCCTGTGGGAGACCTAATTTAATTAACTCTGTGTTTGCAGACCTTATCCTTCGATATGTGGATTAGGTCTGGGTAACTTATTTGGGGGGTTTGCTAAATTTAGTTGATTAATTTAGTTTCAGCTTGACTATCAGTTATCTAGTGGAGACACTGATTCTCAGACCATTGTGGATTCTCTTAATGTTTTAAGAGAAGATGGAAAGAGTATAAAGAATAAAATATATTTAGATATAAAACTTCTCATACTGGTTAAGGATACTGTGAAAAAGCAGTCCTTTCTTCTGTGTGTATGTGTGTGTGTGTGTGTATACAAGAAAGGGGAGGGGCTCATTCTTAAGCCAGGCATGCTTCATCTTGCCGTTAAAGTTAGAAAAACTCGGCAGTAATGAGTAAAAATTGGAATGTTTTTCTGTTTAAGAACTATCATCTGGAGATGTGTATGTCTCTTTCTTTTAACCTTCGCAGCTTCAACGGAAAAGACACATTGGCAATGACATTGTGGCTATTATATTCCAAGACGAAAATACTCCCTTTGTTCCGGATATGATTGCTTCAAATTTTCTGCACGCCTATATTGTTGTCCAGGCAGAAAATCCAGAAATGGATAATACGTCCTATAAAGTAAGTGGGTGAGAAAAGTAGAAGTGTGTGTGTGTGTGTGTGTGTGTGTGTGTGTGTGTGTGTGTGTCCCTGGTGTGTATATGTGTGTGCCCACATCTATTTTTCAACTGACAAATAAGCGCTTTGGTGGCTTTGAAAAATGTACCTGTTTGACCAGAGATAAAGAGTTCCTACTAAGCCTTTGTGAAAATGATTATTTATTCTTGGAGAAGCAGCTGGTGCCCTCAGCAGTGTGGTTAGCCTATCTGCTTGTTGGCAGGAAATGTCATTAAATGCCCAGAGGCATGTAGCATACATCTGCCCTTGAAGCCTTAGCAAAGTCAGCTTGACTGAAGGTTGCGGAGCAAGTAGCCAGTAGCCACCTTTCCGGGGCTATGTGCCCCTTCTGGCATTTGCAGATTATTGTGGATTTGTTGGTTTGCCACTTTCTGTCTGTTGTCCCATATCTGGAGAAAAGAATACCACTTTATGCCTTGGTAAGGCCACACTTGGAATACTGCATCCAGTTTTGGTCACCACGATGTAAAAAAGATGTTGAGACTCTAGAAAGAGTGCAGAGAAGAGCAACAAAGAAGATTAGGGGACTGGAGGCTAAAACATATAAGGAAGGGCTGCTGGAATCTGGTATGTTTAGTTTAATGAACAGAAGGACGAGGGGGGACATGATAGCAGTCTTCCAATATCTCAGGGGCTGCCCCAAAGAAGAGGGAGTCTGTCAATGCATCCGCTGTTGTCCGTAAGTAGGAACAAAGGAACGCCGGTACGCACTGAACTCATTGACGGATTTATTTTGAGGATGAAAAAAAGTCAGCACTGGGAGTGGTTTTCTCCCAGTGCTCTATAACTGTGTGCCACACCCCGTTCTCCCGCCCCCAGCTCCAAACCGACATCTGCCCCAACTCAATATATGCCCCACCCTTCCCCTGTGCTCTCCCTTTCACTGACGGAGCCCTGCCCCCGCATCCCTCTGTCCGTGCGTCCGGTCCCCGTGCTCTCTTCCCGCTGCCAAACTTTCCCTGCCTGCTGGCCCACCTGTCTGGTAAGTATCCCCTGCCCCTCGCCCACGCTGGATTCTCCTGCAGGGGTATAGAGTCCTTGTAAGGCCCCGTGCCGCAGTCCTTCATCGTTCCACTCCCGTTCCGCGTCGGCGCGCCGGCGGTCATCCGACTTGCCGGCAACAGCTGGTCCTCGGCGGAGTTCGGGCTTGCGTGCGGACCGGCACCCGTCCGCACTTGCACGGCTTCCAGGAGAGGCAGATTTGTTGCGAAGCCCCGTTCGGTTTGGGCTTTGGCTGTGGTGGCGTGCGGCTCGGCAATTTCCGGGGTTAGTGGGCTGTCGTCTGCTTCCCCCCATCCCCGTTTGCATGTCAAGCCTTCAGGAGCTTGACAGAGTCAAGCTATTCTCCAAAGCACCTGAAGGCAGGACGAGAAGCAACGGATGGAAACTAATCAAGGAGAGAAGCAACCTAGAACTAAGGAGAAACTTCCTGACAGTTAGAACAATTAACCAGTGGAACAACCTGCCTCCAGAAGCGGTGAATGCTCCAACACTGGAAGTTTTTAAGAAGAGACTGGACAGCCATTTGTCTGAAATGGTATAGGGTTTCCTGCCTGAGCAGGGGGTTGGATTAGATGATCTCCAGGTCCCTTCCAACTTTATTATTATTATTATTGTTGTAGTTGTACGGGTAATCCTCGAGTTATAACCCCCCACCCAAATAGCCGTTGCTAAGTGAGTCTTAACCCATTTTATAACCTTTCTTGCTCCGATTGTTAAGGGAATCCCTGCAGTTGTTGATTTAGTAACAGTTAATTTAGTTCAGTGAATCTGGCTTCCCCATTGACTTTGCTTGTCAGAAGGCCGCAAAACTTGATTATATGGCCCCAGGATACCGCAACCGTCATAACTACGAACTAGTTGCCAAGCATCTGGATTTTAATAATGTGACCATGGGGATGCTGCAACGGTCATAAGTGTGAAAATGTTCCTGAGTCACTTTTTTTTCAGTGCCATTGTAACTTCGAACGGTCACTAATGATTGCAAGTTGAGGACTCTCTGTAAAAGTATGTAGGGATGATGGAAGGAAGAGAGGCTACCTAGGGAACAGGCAGATAAGAGAAGACGGAGCCTGCAGCTGCATAATGGATGGAGGAAAAGGCTCACAAGGATTCCCCTCTCCCAGGTGCTCTGGTGAGATCTTGCAAATGACGGTAAATGCAGCTGTGTTGCTGAGCTCCTGCATTCAGTGACATGGTCACAGAAGGGGCCCAACTGTTGAAACTTCCAATCCAGGCTGTAAATCTACCTTTTCAGTAACATTGGTCACTAAGTGACCAGTCATAAGGTGAGGACTACCTGTATGTGAGAAGGTTTGGCTAATTTTCTGGCCCTTAGGCATCGCTTAGTATTTGCATTGTAGAGTGGCTGGAACACGTGGTGCCTTGTGCAGTCCAGTTCTTAAACACGAGATGCAAAATTAACAACCCACTTGTGGATTGGAAGAGATTTCTCAGGTGCCTGATTAGAAAGAAAATGTATGTGGATAAAGTAGAACAGTGAACATTCAGAGGCCAGGATCACATTGTTTCCACTATGGATAGATTATAATCATTAGTTAATAGCGACCAGTGTAGTTTTCTTGGCTTATGAAATATGGAAATTCTGTACCAGTTTTGGACTGGTTTTGCCTTTTATTTTAATTCATTTAAAATAATATATTATGGTTTCTTGCTCAGTCAGCCAGATGTTCTGACTGGATTTGGCATTTTTGTCCACTATTGAGTCCTTCCCATGGACCTCGGATAGGCACATGCGGATGTGTTAAAGGTATCATTGCAGAATGTAAGCTATACCTAGTAAAGCTGCCTTTTGCAATTGACTAATGGTTATTTTGTCAATGCCAAGTGATGTTCACATAGTGATCTGTTTGTTTTGGGACTGTACCCAAGGTGCCTATTACTGTTATATTACTATTCGTATTATTGTTTTGTATTACTGCTTATAGCATTATATGTTCTTTGCCTATCTCTCTTTCTCTTTGTGTGAAGCACTGTTCAATCAATACATTAGAGAGAGAAAGAGAGAGAGAAAAATGCTGAGGACAAGGCTGGTTGGAAGCAAGCAATGCCCTCCTTATGGACTCAGAAGTCTTGCTAGAAATCTTGCCATCTGCCCAGATGTGCAGAGCTCACTTGGTGTTCAATGACTTTACCAGCCAGAGGTTCTCCCTAGAGGAACTTTGACATCAGTTAAGCTGGATTAGTAGAATGTCTCCAGACACACTTAAATCCTGGTGACTTACATCTGGGTTACATTTTTGGCAATGATGACAGCACCAGTGATTAGCCCTTGCCTCATCCTGGACTATTTCCCAACTTTTCAGTCTAATCCATAGCTCTGGGGATTTTGTAGTACCTCCTATCCAGATGGTAACCAGGTTTGACCTGCCTGTTTTGTTTAAATCAGTCAGGGTGGCTGGGTTTGGCCAGTTGCCGAGGCAGTCCTTTCAAATATGCAGGCAATTTAATTTAGTTTAATTTAGAATAATCTTTTCTACTATCCACCTGCTCCCAGTTTTTTCCCCCACTACCTTGATGAATTTGATTGCTTGGTTTTTTGGGTTGCTTTGGCCTTCGATGCTGTTGTGGAAGAAAATGTAGTCCCAATGCCTTCCTTGTTGCAATATTACAATCAATAGCTTCCTTTCACACAAAAGATTGTGTTAAGGTTATGGAGGTATTTCTCAACTTTGCAACTTTAAGATGGGTGGATTTCAATTCCCAGAATTCCTCAGCCAGCCCTGCTGCCCATCCATCACAAATTTGCCAAGATTAAAAAACACTGGGTTAGGGAAACCTCTGGCTGAAGCATTCACACAATATGCTAACATGGTCAATATTAAGCTTGATGAAGGATTTGGGGGGATGTGTGGTTTAGTCCATTGAGTGAATGCCATCCATTTGGATAAAGACAATCACTGGTCTGAGATGGTATAGGTTCTCCTGCTTGAGCAGGAGGTTGGACTAGAAGACCTCCAAGGTCCATTCCAGATTCTATTCTATTCTATTCTATTCTATTCTATTCTATTCTATTCTATTCTATTCTATTCTATTCTATTCTATTCTATTCTATTCTATTCTATTCTATTCTATTCTATTCTATTCTATTCCATTCCATTCCATTCCATTCCACTCCACTCCACTCCACCCCAGTCTGTAGAGTTTGAGAGACTAAACTTCCCACCAAGCGAGATCAGTGCACAACTCAGTGGGCCTTTTGGTGGTAGACCTAAAGTTGCATCCAGACAACCACCCAAGGGAAGCAGATCCTCACATGTCGAGAAACAGGACAATGACATTAACATGGGAACCAGGACATGTAAGGAAATCAGATGTCTGTTTTACTGCCAACAGCACCATCACAGGCCCCAACAATTTCAAACACAAATTTAGAATCACCTTCACATGACTTTCTTCTAATGTGATAGCAATGGCTCCCTGGATTCTACAAACAGGCCAGACTTTGTGCAAAATAATTAATGGTCAAGTTTGATATCAGGACTTAAAACAAAGGGAAAGTAATTGAAGAGCATGTAACCTCCCGGGACACTCACAGATCCCAAGTCACAATTTTGTATCAAAAGGCATATGCCAGCACAGTTGAGCGTGAGACAGCTGAATATACATACAACAATATGTCCCAGGCTATTTCAGAAGGCCTGAACAAACACATATCAGTTGTTAAGGGACAAAGTACTTGCCGTCTGTCCACCTTGAGCCTTTATCTGCTTAACCTCAACAAGAGTCACTTGGTTTGCGTGATAGGCAGCTTAATAAATTTGAAAAATAAATAAATAAACCTCCCCCCCCCCATGAGCTACAGTTCACTAAAACCTTATGCCTCATAATAACATCTGTTAGCCTTAAAAGATGAGACTCCTTACGATTTTTTTCTCCAACCTGATACCTGCACTCTGAAACTCTTTCCATAGTTCTCTGCCTGGAGAACCATCAGCGTTGCTGGTGAGGAATTCTAGGGTTCATGCTTACATTTTCATATTCCTATTTCCCATTTGTAGATTGAAGACTTGAGAAAGGTTTTCTAGATTTTGTATGTCCCCATTAGGACATTATCTCCACATTTAGAGATAATCTATCTTCTTCAAAGCGGTTAAAAAAGACACTCACTCAGGACTTCCAAGAATTATATGGCTGGCTAAGAGTGAGAAAAACAAAAATTTAATCAGAGAGACCTTTGTACAATAACTGCATTTACACTGGGTTCTTTTACGTGTAGCCGTTGTGCATATCTCATAAACTCAAATGCTTTTTCTCTTTCCTTGTTTTGGATAGGTAGCTGTCACAGCACGAGAAGATGTCCCGTCTTTTGGTCCTTCACTGCCGAGCCCACCTGTATTCCAAAAAGTAAGACCCAACCCTAATCCTAAAACAAGGTTTGTTTGGTTCTTATGGGAAGTAATTTGGGAGATCTGGGGGGAAGGGTTAAATTAAATAGATTGATTTTTGGAAGATTTACCAATAAAATAGCATTTCTACTTTTTCATTTAATTACTAAAGCTTTATTACTGTGGTTGGTCTGTGGAGAACCATCTCCCACACACACCTCCAAAAAAGGGACTTAAAATGATACCAATTTCATGGTGTAGATGGGATTTCTGTATTGCACTAAACCAGTGGTTCTCAACCTTTCTAATGCCGCGACCCCATAATACAGTCCCCCATGTTGTGGTGACCCCCAACCACTTATACATCACCGGGTGCCAGGGGGGTGGCCAAAGAAAAGGGGAAAAAATGGTGGACAGCCTTGTTTGGCGATCCCCGTGAAATGGTCGTTCGACCCCAAATGGGGTCCCGACCCACAGGTTGAGAACCACTGCACTAAACCAAACTGAGACTGTTGATTTTTATTTTAGTTTATTGTAGGACCCCAGTTGTGGATTACAAATCAGTTTTATTATTCTTTTACCTTCAGGGGAGATCATCATCATCATCATTGTCAATTACTTTGCATTATTATTGAGTCCCTAAGTTTACATGAAATGTGACTGGTTAGGTAATGATGTCACCAGAGTAGGCAGGTCTAGTGTTGGTGCTTTTTATTTTTCAATTTTAAAAGACTCAATATTCCTGTTGCATCAACAGAGGGATAGTTTCAAGATTATGTGAGGTGATAGTACTGCTCTATACTGTACCAGCGAGGCAACACTTGGAATATTGCATCTAATTCTGGTCCCTATAGTACAAAAAAGATATTGAGAACATAAAAAGAGTGTAGAGAAGGGCAGCAAAGTTGACAAGGGATTTGGAGGCTAAACCATATCAAGAATGATTGAGGGAACTAGTTATATCTAGTCAAAACTATTCTAACAAAGAGAAGGACTGCGGGTAACATGATAGCAATCTCATCAAATTTGCAGACGACTGGCAGGACAAGCTGGCAGGAATAGCCAACACTCAAGAAGACAGGCTTAAGGTACAGAAAAGTCTTGAAAACTTGAACATTGGGCGCTATCTAACAAAATGAAATTCAATGGTGAAAAAAGTAAGGTTCTACATTTAGGCAAGAAAAACCAAATGCACAGGTATAGTATAGGTGGTACCTTGCTCAGTAGTAGTAATTGTAAGAGGCACTATCTAACAAAATGAAATTCAATGGTGAAAAAAGTAAGGTTCTACATTTAGGCAAGAAAAACCAAATGTACAGGTATAGTATAGGTGGTACCTTGCTCAATAGTAGTAACTATGAGAGGGATCTCGGAGTCCTAGTGGACAATAACTTAAATATGAGCCAGCTGTGTGCTATAGCTGCCAAAAAATGATCAGGGGACTGGAGGCTAAAACATAAGGAAGGGCTGCTGGAATTGGGTATGTCTAGTTTAATGAAGAGAAGGACGAGGAGTGACATGATAGCAGTGCTCCAATATCTCAGGGGCTGCCACAAAGAAGAGGGAGTCAAGCTATTCTCCAAAGCACCTGAGTGCAGGACAAGAAGCAACGGATGGAAACTAACCAAAGAGAGAAGCAATCTAGAACTAAGTTTTTAAGAAGAAACTGGACAGCCATTTGTCTGAAATGGTATAGAGTTTCCTTCCTGAGCAGGGGGTTGGACTAGATGACCTCTAAGGTCCTTTCAAGCTATTATTGTTGTTGTTGTTGTTGTTGTTGCAATCTTTCAGTACTTGAGGGACTGTCACAGGGAAGAGGGTGTCAATCTATTCTCCAAAGCACCTGAGGGCAGGACAAAAAGTAACAGGTGGAAGATCATTGAAGAGAGATTTAACCTAAAACTAAGGAGAAATTTCCTGACAGAACAATTAATCAGTGGAATGGCTTAACTCTGGAAGTTATGGATGCTCTATCATTGGACGTTTTTGAACAACCATTTGTCTGGAATGGTGTAGGGTCTCCTGCCTAAGCAGGGGGTTGGACTAGAAGACCTCAAATGTCCCTTCCAACCTTATAACTCTATGTTCTGTGTAGGAAATGGACAATTAGGTTGACACCTACTTGATGCACGGGAGATTCTTTGGAATACATTTCTGGCTCATCCTGGAGATTTTTGAAGATCTGTTGATGACCCCCTGAAGTGGCACCCAAGGAACAGCCTTGAACTGGGTCATTATTCAGCTGACCTGCTTTTTTTCATTCCTTAGAATGCAGAATTCCGAGAGTTTCTTCTCACCAAGCTGATCAATGCAGAAAATTCTTGCTGTAAGTCGGACAAGTTTGCCAAACTTGAGGTAAGGAAAAATGGGTTACCCTTGAGCAGGTAAACAGGACAACTTGCTCAGCCTAAATCCATTTCGCTTTGGGATATCCGAGATTAACAGTCACATTTTAAAGGAACTCTTTGAAGCCAAACAGCAGGACGCAGATGCCTGTAACATTACCTTGTTATGAATTCTGCGGTTTCTTGAAATAATTCACAATTTCTGCATTGCGGTATTGATGAAAACATTGTGCTTCAATTCTTGCATCTCTCTGACTTTTGCAATAGAATTCCAGGTTAGAAAAAAAATGGAAGTGCATATATGAAATTTGGGCAAAAATTGTTTTGATCCCTTTAAAAGGTGTATTGAAAAATAGATTAAAAGGTGTTTGTGAATGTGTATGTATATATTAATTTCATGAAGACATCTGATGGAATGGTCTTATACTGAACTGTACAACACTGAATGGACCAGAAATAGATTGCTCCATTAATTCTTATGGAACGGCAACTTAGAAGAACCCTGGCTTAGAATAGCCAAAGACACCTGTGGTAGCATCAGCATGACAGAGAATCAGTCTGCAGTTCATGGCATACCCATGTTCTTATGCAACTTCTTGTAGTCTCATGTTCTTTCAGGAAGTGCTGCTGAGGGCAGTCATTCCTGCAAAGAAACAATGCAGGGAGGGAGGGAGGGAAGGAGGGAAAGAGGGAGGGAGGGAGGGAGGGAGGGAGGGAGGAAGGAAGGAAGGAAGGAAGGAAGGAAGGAAGGACGGAGGGGGAAAGAAGGAATGAAGATGGAAGGAGAGAAGAAGGAGGAAGGGAGAAATCATTTGACCACTTCATATTCTTAATAACTTTCTTCTCTCACCCAAATAAAACTTCAATTAGTTTCTTAGATTTAGATCTGCTTTTCCTCCAGGAACTCAATTCAGCAGACATAATAGTTGTCCCAAAGATGCCTTTTCACGAAGCAACTGGACTTTCTTGTTTTTCTTTGAAGATGTTTCACTTCTCTTCCAAGAATGAGAAGTGAAACATCTTCAAAGAAAAACAAGAAAGTCCAGTTGCCTCGTGAAAAAGCATCTTTGGTACAATTATGACCTGAATGGCTGAGAATCTCCATATACATACATAATAATCACTTCTCCTGTTTTTTCTCCCCCTGATATATGTTGGGCTAAGAGAAAGTGACCAGACCAAGATCATCCAGAGAATTTGCATGGCTGAGCATGGACTGACACTAGGGCCTCCACACTGCTACCTCAACACCTTAACCTCTAGAGCAGGGGTAGGCAACCTTGGCTCTTTTATGACTCATGGACTTCAACTCCCAGAATTCCTCAGCCAGCATGGCTCAGCATGGAAACTTCTCCCTTTCTCCTCAGCATGGCTGGCTCAGGAATTCTGGGAGTTGAAGTCCACGAGTCATAAAAGAGCCAAGATTGCCTACCCCTGCTCTAGACTGTACTGGTGTACCATGCAATTGTTTGTAACAGGAAATACCTTTGTGTGAAAAGTTGTTCATGCAAAGTTTGCTGCATGTCGTTGGAATTATTTGACCCAGGAATTCTGGCATTCTGAAGCACACCACTGTTAAAGGAACACCACACGGGGTGGACAACTACAGTCCCTTTCCCTGCTGTAGCACGACAGGAGGGATTACCTTCCCAGGCTCACCAATTAAAATGGCTTTCTGTGATCAAAAGCATCTCCTGCCGATTCATGCAGAAGTCTTTGAGCGGATTAAATCGTGTTTAATCAATAGATCAGAGCTCACAGCTCTATTAATTACAGGCGTCCTGCTGAGAAAACAATATGGGCCCTATCTATGAAGTCATCCAGGGTTGAGCTCAACTTGAAGGGAAATTTATCTTAAAGCCAATTAAGGCTGAGCTGCATTTGTGAATGTTCAGCTTCCTCAGGCATAAGCTTCCCTTTTTTTATTTGTGAGAGCTGATCTTTATTACCGCTCAAAATCTCCCAGGTGAACTAGGCGTCCCACAGAAGCTGTGACTGTGTCAAAAACTTAAAAAAAGAAAAGAAAAGAAAGAGCAGCTTCAATACAAAGGTACCGCAAGGGGAGTCAAAGGGAGGCAGATGACAAAAACAGATCACACCCTTATAGTGTAAGCTTTGCACCTTTGGCACACAACATCGTACACATGCTATTTTTATTTATTTAAAAGATGTATAAAGCCACCCATGTGGCAGCATGCAACTCTAGGTGACGGATATCCGTGTGAAAAAGACAAACAATGAAACCAATAAGAAGGAAAAGAATGAAATGAAATAAAAGTAAGAAAAGCTAAGCACCCAAGCCATAACTACAGGTAGTCCTCGACTTACGACCATCATGGAGCCTGCCCATTATGGTTGTATGTCACGACGGTTGTAAAATGGGTCATCCCTATAACCGACCCAATTTTATGACCTTTTAGTTTTTTTGCAATGGTCATTAAGCAAACACTGTGATTGGTAAGTGGACCAATTGTTTGCTTTGGGTGTTTTGGCTGAAAACTGAAGGTAAATGCTGGACTTGGGCAAAAACATCATAAAATGCAGTCATATGAGACTGCAGGATGTTGCCAACAGTCATAAATGCGGGTCAGTTGCCAAGCACCAGAAATGCAATCACGTGACCTTGGGGGGGGGGCAGCATCAGAACTTCAGAACCATCGTCAGGATCCCCAGAGAGGTCTGTTAAACTCAGTGACTGATTGTAAGTAAAGGACTACTTGTATACCCTTTAATCTCTTCTAATCCCTGACCTCCACAGCTACGACTGTTGCAGCATCTCCATGATCATGTGATCGAAATTCAGACGTTTGACAACTGACTCCTATTTACGACAATTGCAATGTCCTGGAGTCATGTGATCACCTTTTGCAACCTTCTGACAGTCAAACTCAATGGTTGCAGCCTGAATCACTTCACAACCGTGTTACTAACTTAACAATTGCAGTTATTCACAACAACTGTGGCAAGAAAGGTTGTGAGATGGGGCAAAACTCACTTAGCAAATGTCTCACTTACCGACAGAAATTTGGGGCTCAACTGTAGTCGTGTGTCGAGGACTACCTGAGTTAGTAGGTAGTGATTCCACAGATCAGTGTTCTTCAACCTCAATAACTTTAAGATGGATGGACTTCAACTCCCAGAATTCCCCAGCCAGCATGGGAGTTCTGGAAGTGGAAGTCCACACAAGCTTCACGCTACCAAGGCTGAGGAACAGCGAACCCAACCACCTTTTAGCCTACATCAGAACTGCAAGGCCATTTTAGAACCCCCTAACGTTGCTTCTAGGATCGAACACGGGCTGCCTTATTGGACAACTTGCACGATGAACTCCACGTCCACACGCAGCTGATGTTGGGCCTAGGATCTGAGGAAGACAAGCTGGAGAACGGTGGACACGGTGGATTCTTGGAATCGTTTAAGGTAAAAAAAAATGTTCTTGGATTTTTGTAACGTAGAGAAGCAGACACATAGTTTTACTGCAAAGTGGCCAAAATTAAATGCCACTGATACTTTTGACCGCTAGCCTCTTTCAATACATTGCATCCTTCCATCAGTCATTGCCCATCGCCCAAATGCTTGTCAGAAGGATAAGCTAAGGACCGAAGGCTTAGTGTTTTTTTCCCCCCTTGCTTCTGATGTTATACAGAATTGGACTTTTTTTTTTACTCTTCTGGCATTGCAGGAGATCCCAGGGCTGATGAGGAAAACAACTGCCAGAAAAATGGTGCAGCTGCCCTTGTACCTATGGACAGCCTTGTTGGTCTGCTTAATTGCTTATTTACTTCTCAGTGTGTTGCCTGGGTAAATGGATAAAGGAAATGGAAGAAAGGAGAAGAGACTGGAGTTGCTGCCTACAAAATGCAACAAGAAATCACAGATGTTCTTTTTTGCTTTGTTAACACTTGCACAGTCTGGGGGATAAAAAAAAAAAAATCAAAATCCTTTCCAATATGATCAAAGGGGGAGGGTAGCCTTTTTTTTCAGTTAAGTTTTTCAGATGGTTTGGTTTGTGATTTTTTAAAATAGATTTGGCCTCCAAGAAGATGGCTGGGGATGCATTTCATTTTAGAAGGCATTCTACCTATTTTGGTCCCTATTTTGGCTCAAGATTTGGGCTGCCAGGAGATCAAACCAGTCACTCCTAAAGGAAATCAGCCTGGATGTTCTTTGGAAGGACAATTACTGAAGCTGAAGCTCAAGTGCTTTGGCCACCAAAGGAGAAGAGAGGACTCATTGGAAAAGACCCTGATGTTGGGAAAGATGGAAGGCAAAAGGAGAAAGGGAGGGCAAAGGGTGAGATGGTTAGATAGTGTCATTGATGCAATGTACATGAATTTAGGCAAATTCTGGGAGACAGTGAAGGGCAGAGGGGCTGTTATCCATGGGATCATGAAAAGTCAGACATGACTTCGTAACTGAACAACAACAAAAGCAAACAGAATAAATAATAATAATAAAGTTGGAAGGCACCTTGGAGGTCATCTATTCTAACCCCCTACTCAGGGAGGTAACCCTATACCATTTCGGACAAATGGCTGTCCAGTCTCTTCTTAAAAACTTCCAGTGTTGGAACGTTCTCCGCTTCTGGAGGCAGGTTGTTTCACTGGTTAATTGTTTTAACTGTCAGGAAGTTTCTCCTTAGTTCTAGATTGCTTCTCTCCTTGATTAGTTTCCACCCGTTGCTTCTTGTCCTGTCTTCAGGCGCTTTGGAAAATAGCTTGACTCCCTCTTCTTTGTGGCAGCCCCTGAGATATTGGAAGACTGCTTTCATGTCACTCCTGGTCCTTCTCTTCATTAAACTAGACATACCCAATTCCAGCAATGGTTCCTTATATGCTTTAGGCTCCAGTCCCCTGATCATCTTTGTTGTTCTTCTCTGTACTCTTTCTAGAGTCTCAACATCTTTTTTACATTGAAATGTTGCAACTCTTTACCCATTTACATGAGAATAATCATCATATAACTTGTTACTATTTATTGAGTTAGAATTTTCATTCTTCCCCTTTTCCAATGTGTTGTTAGTGGGAGCCTGTCTCAGAATGATGGGAAACAGCATGACCCGGATTTATTAGCATTGGTCCAACGTGAACTCAGCAGACAAGCATAAACAGTTTGGGCTGCATTCAGTCAAGGGCCTGCCAGTTGCTGAGCTGCAGAATATGGGGGGAAAATGGTATAGTGATACCATATGGGTGCTGTGTCCTAGTGGTTAAGATACTGGCCTTGTTGATTGGAAAATCGGCAGTTCGAGACCCAAACAACGCACGACAGGGTGAGCTCCCATCCTTACCCCAGCTCCTGCTAACCTAGCAGTTCGAAATCATGCAAGTGTGAATAGATAAATGGGTACCACTTTGGTGGGAAGTTAACAGTTTTCCATGCCCCATGGCATATAATCATGCTGGCCACATGACCACAGAAGCAACTTTGGACAAAGCTGGAAACAGAGACATGCACTGCCCCCTAGAGTTGGACATGATGGGAGGGGGAAACTTTTACCTTTAGCAGACGGTCAGATTTGGGGTGATATGGTACTGTAGGTCCACATCTCAAAACAAGCTGTTCTTCTCTCTGATGCAAATTCAGCAGGGCTGGTGTTCATTTATTTTGAAGTAGGTGCCAATCTATTATCAAGAAAAGAATTTCTCATTCTGATAAGAAGATTTAATCCAGAATTCAGAATTTATCTCAAGGCATCGTGAGGCAGTCATCTTATTGTCTATGTCTGATGACATTGCAGAATGAAATGTTTGTAGAGATTCCAAACAAACTTCTAAAACTTTCACATTAAAGCCATATCCCAGTTTCTTTATGCTGAAGACTAATCAACCATAAATTTGCAGAATTTAGGAAGGGGAATATTGTTTTTCTGTATCCCAATTTATTTTGAGAACAACACTGTGTATGTGTTGGTGTGGGCATCTGTGGTGATTTATGAGATATTCTTTTGTATTTGTCATTTGGGGGGGGGGAAATGGGGTCATTTCTCACCTTGATAATCCCAATGTGATAAGGCAATGTGAGAGAGTATGTGCCTGTTGATTAATGTATTGTGATTTTTTGGGAGGAAAATGCACAAAAGCTTGAGTTGAGGCCCTCAGGACTTCTTGTGTGGAAGGGCAGAGTTTCAGCACAAGCCACAGAGCAAAAGAACTGTACTTTGCAGTGTTGTATTTCATAAAGCAACCAGTGACATCAGTCAGGCATCCATTAAAGCAGGGGTCTTCAGACTTGGCCCTTTTATGACTTGTGGACTTCAACTCCCAGAATTCCTCAGCGTGCCTGGCTGAGGAATTCTGGGAGTTGAAGTCCACAAGTCATAAAAGGGCCAAGTTTGAAGACCTCTGCATTAAAGTGATTCTCAACAAAGCAGCAGGACTATGTTCATCCTTAAACGTAGTCAGGACTTTATGGACTTCAAAATGTGTTAAGCTAACCCTGTTGTATTTCATGGGCCACTCATGGATCACTCTGCTCAGTCTGTTGTATAGGATCCTTGACACCTCCCCCCTCCCAGTTCCATCTTCCTGGCCCTAATTCCTGCCAAAGAATACCTAATGCTCACACAGTCTTCAAGCACAATACAATGGATGCAACCACTCCCAACAGCTGGATACCAGGGAACTTCCGGGGAAGATGGCAGATTGAAGGCAACTCCGTGAAAAGTGGAGTCAATATTTGCAGTCACAAACAGGGAGCCGATGAGCAGATGAGCTCCTTTAACCATCTCTGGACAAAGAGAGGATGTGAGATCATTCAAGCTGATCTCCTCAAGAAGACTCCAGAGGGAGGGAGAATTGGAAGATGAGGGAATTCACCATAATTGCTCCAGCCACAAACTGAGTCTTTTCAAAGGATACTAACTTTGCATATCTCTTTCAGAAATTGCCTATGTGCCTTCAATCCTTAAGAACAGAACAGAATAGAATAACAGATTGGGAGGGACCTTGGAGGTCATCTAGTCCAACCCTCTGCTCAGGCAGGAAACCTTATACCATTTTAGACAAGTGGTTATCCAATCTCTTTTTTAAAAACTCCATTAATGAAGTACCCACAACTCCTATAAGCAAGTTGTTCACCGATTAATTGTTCTAACTAACAGGATATTTCTCCTTAGTTCTAGGTTGGTTCTCTCCTTCAGGTGCTTTGGATAATAGGTTGTCCCCCTCTTCTTGATGAAAATGATGTATCTTTATATTTTTTAAATAATTATAGCAAAAAACAAGACACAGTTTTGGCTACACAAAGTTTTAAATGGATTAGGGGTTTAAAAATGTTGGAATATTGGATTTTGAATATTAAGACTTTGAAATTCTTAAAGAACAAATTCATGTTTCTGGGAAAGAAAAATTGTATCTTATATTGGAGACATAACAAGACAAGTAACTTATTATAGCTTTCAAAGATATCTTTGATGAACTGCATTGGGGATTGTGCCAGGACTTTGAACCAATTATATCAGCTACGTTGCATCTTCTTGGGAACAGTCTGTTCCCAAAAGATGTACAGAAAAAAAAATGTAACAAAATCTACCCGAGAACAAGATGAATATTTGAATGAGAATATGTAATCAGATATAAAGAAAAAATTGAATGAGGCTTTAAAAATTAAGGACATAAAATGACATCCGAGAGCAATTGGAACAATTTCTTTTTGCTGGACTTGCAAAAGAGGCTGTTTAACACACTGAAGAAATTTGTATCAAGGATCAACAACCATCTAAATGAATTAAAAAGAAAGATTGTTTTACCTTTAAAAAAGAATACAAAGTTGGTTTATTTGATCGAGATAGAATCTGGATTGGTTGGTACCTAGAGTGGAAAAGTATTGTTTATTTAATTTGCTTATATTTAATATGGTGTTTTAAGCTTTTCCCTTATACTACAGCATTTAAACTGGCTGTGTATAAGGAAGTTTTGTGAACATGTTCTTTTAAAAGGTAAAATTATCCCTCTTTGCTATGTTAAATTTTAGTTTTTTGCATTATGTTACACTATTGGGATTGCTATATATTTGCTAAATCTGGATTTGTTTATAATTAACATGGCCTATAATCTCTTTCCCTACAGTTACTCTAAAACAGGGGTGTCAAACTGCCGGCCTGCAGGCTGGATGCATCATAGCAATACCACACCCACCCCATTGCCGACAACGGAAAAAAAGGCGCAATACGTTGTGACACGTCACGTGATGTTGCAAGTTTGACACCCCTGCTCTAGAAATAAGGGATGTTTGTGGGGACTTTTTAAAAAGAGAAATGGTCCTTCTTTGTTATGTAAAACTGACTTTTGTTTATACTGAGATATTGAGACCACTTTATGCCTTTTAAATAGAGTTATTGCTAAGAGTTGAGATGTGCAATGTTAAGTTTTATATATACTGTATATTAATTAATGTTGTTATGTTAAAGCTGTGTTTGG